TTTTATTTTAGGAAAACAGAACGTTCTGTATGCCTGCCAAATGTAATGGTCAGTTATAGCTGGGTGTATTCTATAATATATGTTAACTATTTCTGTGGACAAGTCATTAAAGTTGGTACTTTAGCTTACAAAAGAAAGGCAACTGCATTAAGTAGAAACAAAATAAAAATATAGAGAAAATATCATAATGTAGGTTTATCAATAAAAGCAATGCTTAATTGGTAACTGTACTACACAACTTCTGTCCTCTCTAGAATGACTAATGCTACGTGGGATTCAGGTATGAAAAGAGGTACAGTCCTACTAACTCTGTATCTTGCCTGTTCTATGTACCAGAAACACATGCAAATGTTGCCTCCATAACCGCCTATGAAACTCAAAGCACAGTGCAGAGCATTTACTGTCACATTTGAGCAAATGGAAACATGTAGGCATATTACCGAATAAAAATCATAATGAGATATTAAATGTTCCTTTTCCTCTAGAATAGTTCTATACCTAATAAATGTAGCCACAGGACTGAATACTGACTGAGAAAACTATGTACATAAATAGCTGAAGGGAAGTCTAGATTTCGGGACAGCTGGCTGAAATAGCTCACAGCTCTAGGCCATCTTTCTTGCTGGATAATAATTATAGCCAAACTAGTGGAATAGCTACACCGTGTTAAGTAGAGGAAAATATGGACCAAAAATGCTTGTCTTTTTCTGCCTCATTGCACCTATCAGAAACCCAAATACTATGTTGATAATGTGTACTTATACTGGGTGGGCTGGATAAAGGGAAGGCATTATTACCAATAATAAATGGAAGGTGTCATGTGCGCTGCCAAAAAAGTAATATAAAGATTCACTGCGGCTGCAAGAACCCAAAAGTGTTCCCACACAAATATTAGTATTATTATTACCAATAATGTTCATGAGCTCAGTGTACATTCTGCATCATGGGCCAGAGGAGTGTAGCTCTAACTCCAACTTCAGGTGACCGTGTTTTAGGGGGTGTAAGGTTGCCCTTGTCAATATCTGAACATATTTCAGGACAATGTAAGCATGACAATGTGTACTGTACGCACATTTGCCTTGTTAGGAATTGTGTGGTTGGAAAGATTTGTGATGGCTTGTGAACTCTACCAAGCCATTGAATCAGCTTGACACTTCGGCAACTATTATTTTCAGAAAGATCAAGAAATGTCATATTTCTCTCAGCATAGGGTTCCTTCTCATAGTGAAAACAAAATTGTACCCTGACAACTGTATCTTTTTAGTACTTGTATTGACTGAATTAAAGGAGAAGTGTGGGAATGTGTAAAAAAAGATAATATACACAGGACAGCACAGTGGCAAAGTGGTTAGCACTTCAGCCTGGCAGCACTGGGGATGTTGGTTCGAATCCCAACAAGAGCACTACCTGCCTGGAGTTTGCATGTTCTCCCTGTGCTTGGGGAAGGGCGGGGTTCCTCCGGGTACTCCAGTTTCCTCCCACACTCCAAAGACATGCTGGTGGGTTAATTGGCTCCTGCATATATTGGCCCTAGTATGTGTATGTATGAACATGCGTTAGGGAGGGCATGGAATGATGTGAATGTGTAATAAACATGTAAAGCACTGGGTAAATTGACTGCGCTATTTAAATACCTTTTAATAATAACACATACTCACCTCTATGCTGCAGTATCAGTCCAATTCTGCTGCTTTCTCCTAACCTCTAAATCTGAGAACCGAGAGCTCACATGACTACTGATCGCTCAGTTGTCCGTACACTCTGAGCAGAGAGCTGTGACTGTCAGTCAGCAATCTCTACCCTGCCCCTCCAGTGCTCACTGGAGCACCGGGCTAGGAAGGAGGTGGGAGTGGCTAGCTCAGCCTCTCAGCGGCACGCTGAGAAACCTTCCTTAATATACACCTTTTCCCAATGACCAAAGTGTCGAGCAATCTGATTGGTTGATTTTATGAGCATGTTTGATCTTATGTGTCTAGACCTAGAACAGCTGTATGCATAGATTTTAATTAAAAAGTTAAATAGATACTCCTTGTCTCGTTTATGGCAAAACTGCAATCTTCAACATCCTTGTACAAAGGTGGACACAACAGCCATGTTGAAATTTTCTTCACCATAAACAAGTACACTATGAATATCTAGGATGCCTTAAACCCATTTACCATATACTTCTCATATTGCTTAAGGGAAAATTGCATGTTTTTACTGCATAAGTAAAGACTCTACCTAAAAGGCTATTTCTCATAAACAAGGGCCTCATGAATATTTAAGACTTTTCCAAATCTAAATCAGATAAACTTGCATTTTACAATGCTAGTAGATTTGCAAATAACCTGCTCTGAACCTCCCCCTGACTCTCCACATAATTATCCAAAAATAGGACAACCCAACATAACAAAGGTAAGGTAATCATCTTGTGCATAAATTAACATAGTAAGGAGTCCTTAGCTATCCTTTGGTCAATAACATGAAAAAATAAATTATGTGTGTGTGTGTGTGTGTGTGTGTATGTGTGTGTGTGTGTGTGTGTGTGTGTGTGTGTGTGTATATATATATATATATATATATATATATATATATATATATATATATATATATATATATATATATATATATAAATATATAAAAAGGTCATACCTCGAGTGATGCAGGATACTTATTATTTCATAGCAACCACAAAAAGGCTCTAACTATAGACTGAACCATCACTTAGGGGTGGACTGATGCTTTGACAGATTTTGCAAGAAGTGTTATTGATTTAAACATTATTGGCAACAAAATGCATAGTGTAAAGACAACCACCGACATCAGACGATGATTAGAAGTAATATAAGAGCTTAAAAACACAGCAACTTGTACACCTTGATTGGGTCTTGTTGTGCATGTAAATGAAACAGATAAACCAAGGCAGTCACCCCCTAGCCACAGTCATAGACCTACAGTGATAAGGCAAATTTATCTGCTGGTAATTCCTCCCAAGGAAATTTGATGATAATGTCCATTGGGACAGAGACAGAACAATTATCATCAGAAAACTGGTCATCGTTCAAAAGGCTTTCTTGAGACATAATTCACAACAGATTCCAAATATGCATTGCAAGCAAAATTGTGTAGTGAGTGGTCTGTGTATTGATCCTCTGCACTGTACTGATGAAAGGTTGGAATATTATGCTACAAAACCTGGGACCTTGGCGCTGATAAACACAATAGATTAATTCTTGTTAGCTATCAAGGCAAACAGATACCATTCTTTACAGTTTTATTGAGCCACTCTTATCCACAAGACGATGCCAATTCCTGGAATTTTGCCTGCACTGAAAACCCAATTAACTGGGTCTGGGAATACATGGAGTACAGTGAGTTACTTTTCTTCATATACAATCTAATAACTGCTGCATGGCTGCAAAGCGCTAATGTTTATGAAAATCATTTCTCCAGCTGTGACATAAATGTTGTTATCCTTATATGTGTGGATGACAAGCTTATGAATTATTTGTCGCAGCTCATTGAAAAAGTCTGTACTTGGAAGGCACACATTTAACCACTTGGAAGACACCCCAGGCGTATTCTAACATTTTCTTTACATGTAAAAATCAGTATTTTTTGTTTTCCCCTAGAAAGTTACTTAGAACCTCCAAACATTATATATGTTTTTAAACAGTGGCCCTAGAGAATAAAATGGTGGCTGCTGCAATTTTTTATGTCACACAGTATTTGTGCAGCAGTTTTTCAAACTCAATTTTAAAAATAATTATACCTTCATGGATTTTAATGCAAAAAGCACAATATATCCCCATTATTTGTAAAATATATAAGATGAGGTTATGCCGAGGAAATAGATTCCCAACATGCCATGCTTTAAAATTGTGCATGTTCGTGGATCATTAAAAATCTCCACAGGTAATGCTTTAAAAAGGTTTACAGGTTACCAGTTTGGAGTTACAAAGGAGTTCTAGTGCTAGAATTATTGCAATCGCTAGAATGTTCGCAGTAATACCTCACATTTGTGGTGCAAGCACCGTTTACATTTGACCTACATATACATACATATTTGACCCCCCGTGCTCGCGTGCACAGACTAACGACAGGGGCACTTTAAAAATTAAAAAAATAATTTTATTAAAAAGGTTTTGTTTAACATTGTCCTTGTATTTATTTATTTATTTTTTGATCACTTTTATTCCGATTACAAAAAATGTAAACATCTCTTTTGATAAAAATAAAGCATGATAGGTCCACTTTATGGAGACCTCTGGGGCTATAAGACCCCATATCTCTCCTCTACCCTTGAAAGCACGAGATCAAAAGAAAAAATAAAATGTCAGTGTTTTTATCTGCCCTAACCGGAAGTGACGAAAATGCTGGTCACTTCTGGCCTCCTAGACCATAGAGGTGATTGGAGACAAACTGGTCTCCGAATACCTCTATTATAAGCCGATGCAACTGCAGGATTCGAAGAACCCAATATAAGTTCACTTATCTCCTTTCATGTTGGGAGTGCTGTGTGTCTGCTGCCATCTTTTTTCTACAACTTCCTGGATTCCCTGCACGTTTTGAAGCTTCTCCTCTGCTGTTTAATTTCAGTTGCTAGGGACTACATATCCCATGGTACCTTGCTGCCTTAAAGAAGAGATTTCTGTATTGACTCCACCTCCTGAAAGCCGAAAGAGCTGCTGCTCTCATGCACATCGCTGGATTGAGATCAGGCTCAAGTATAAGGGGGACTGGGGAGGAGTTGCATTTGGAAGGTTTCTTACTTTAATGTATAGAATGCATTAAGGTAAAAAAAGAAAAAAAAATTTTTGCTTTTACAACCACTTATGTATATGAAATGTATGATCTAATATGATTTAAAATTTTGACCATAGACATGCTTTAAAAATGTACAAATGGTAAACAGACTCAGCTTCATGCATTTGTATATCATTAACCCATACAACAATTATTTTACTAATTAAGAGAGTGGCTTGGGTAAAACAAAATTCAGAAAAAACAATTCTTACCATTTATTACTGGTGTGTAAACAACAATCCCAACCAAGTTTGGGTCGGAAACAGTTGTGTCTAGTATAAGGCCGCCAACACTGAAAAAAAAACAAAAACTTGTTAATAAGGCAGAACATGCTAGGTACTTAATGACTTATTTAACATCTTGATTCTGTTTTAAGATGCTATGAGTTCAAGTAACTGTATCTCTTCTGGGACCCACTCAGGCTTTGTCACAAGCTATGCAGCAAAGATGTGAGACTTCCTTTGTAGTCAGTCTCCAGGATGTGCAAGTGGCTTCGGGCTTTAATTAATAGACTAACACAGCCTAGACACACAGCAAAGGAACACACAAGATAAAACTGGGAAGTAGAAAAGTTTCAAAACATGACTTGCAGCAACTATTAAGCCATTTTGTATCATATGCTTGGTCTATAGAAAAGAAAAAAAGCAAAAATGGGATTATAGATGAAATGCCAAATTAAGTGTGATAAATATTTTATTGACGAAAAAATGTTATTGGGAAAAAAAAAAGGTTTATATAACCCAATTAGTTTTAAATTCAGGGAGGGTAAGATTAAAATTGTGTCATATAAAAGGTAATGAACCCCACATTATTTTTAGTGGTATTGGGTACCACACAATGCCACTATGTTTGTTCTACAGCAATGGTCTAATGACTGTAAAAAAAAAATCTATTGCTCATCACAACCTTCTCTCCATCTTCCCACCAGCTGCCCACATGCATAATAAAGGTTGCACAAATGTGAACCTAGCCATCTTTGAAGAAAGGTTTACCAGACGCAAGGGGCATACGTTACATTCTCTTCATTAATTTATTACACACACACACATATACAGTGGGGATCGAAAGTTTGGGCACCCCAGCTAAAAATTTGTATTAATGTGCATAAAGAAGCCAAGGAAAGAAGGAAAAATCTCCAAAAGGCATCAAATTACAGATTAGACATTCTTATAATATGTCAACGAAAGTTAGATTTTATTTCCATCATTTACACTTTCAAAATAACAGAAAACAAAAAAATGGCGTCTGCAAAAGTTTGGGCACCCCTGCAGAGTTAATATCTTGTACTCTCCCCTTTGGCAAGTATCACAGCTTGTAAACGCTTTTTGTAGCCAGCCAAGAGTTTTTCAATTCTTGTTTGAGGTATCTTTGCCCATTCTTCCTTACAAAAGTCTTCCAGTTCTTTGAGATTTCTGGGCTGTCTGTCACGCACTGCTCTTTTAAGGTCTATCCATAGATTTTCAATTATGTTGAGGTCAGGAGATTGTGAAGGCCATGGCAAAACCTTCAGTTTGTGCCTCTTGATGTAATCCCCCGTGGATTTCGAGGTGTGTTTAGGATCATTATCCATTTGTAGAAGCCATCCTCTCTTTAACTTCAGCTTTTTCACAGATGGTTACCATCCAAAATTTGCTGAAATTTTATTGAATCCATTTTTCCTTCTACTGTGAGATGTTCCCTGTGCCACTGGCTGCAACACAACCCCAAAGCATGATTAATCCAACCCCATGCTTAACAGTTGGACAGAGGTTCTTTTCATTAAATTCTGTGCCCCTTCTTCTCCAAATGTACCTTTGCTCATTCCGGCCAAAAAAGTTCAATTTTAACCTCATCGGTCCACAGAACTTGTTTCCAAAATGCATCAGGCTTGTCTATATGTTCATTTGCAAAGTTCAAACGATGATTTTTGTGGTGGTGAGGACGTAGAAGAGGTTTTCTTCTGATGACTCTTCCATGAAGACCATATTTGTACAAGTATCTCTTTATAGTGGAATAGTGTACCACAACTCCAGTGTCTGCCAGATCTTTCTGGAGGGATCGTGCAGTCAAACGTGGGTTTTGAATTGTTTTTCTCACAATCCTGCGAACTGTTCTGTCTGATATTTTTCTTGGTCTTCCAGATCTTGCTTTAACTTCCACTGTTCCTGATGACTGCCATTTCTTAATTACATTCCGAACAGAGGATATTGACATCTGAAAACGCTTTGCTATCTTCTTATAGCCTTCTCCAGCTTTGTGAGCGTCAACTATTTTCAGTTTCAGTTTTCTAGACAACTGCTTAGAAGAACCCATGGTGCTGATTGTTGGGGCAAGGTCAGATGAGTCTGGGCATTTAAAACCTTTGAGATTGACATAACCTGGTCTTCCCAGACGATGATTGAGAAAAATCCATGACACTGGCAGGTCTCAGCTTTGCAAAGGGGGCAGTGCATGCTATAAATTCTGCAGGGTGCCCAAACTTTTGCAGACGCCATTTTTTTGTTTTCTGTTATTTTGAAAGTGTAAATGATGGAATTAAAATCTAACTTTTGTTGACATATTATAAGCATGTCTAATCTGTAATTTGATGCCTTTTGGAGATTTTTCCTTCTTTCCTTGGCTTCTTTATGCACATTAATACAAATTTTTAGCTGGGGTGCCCAAACTTTCGATCCCCACTGTATATATATATATATATATATATATATATATATATATATATATATATACACACATATATACATATACACACACACACATATATAAACATATACATATACACACATTACCATTGCGGTCAATGCTGATGACAAATTCATATACAGTCTTTTAACTATCATGGCTGTTTGTAAAACATCAGGATACAGATTTGTTTCCTACTGAGAGATAATCCATATTGTGAAAAGTATCAATGAATTTAGCTCTATATCTTCATGCATATTTGTCTTACTGATGTAATTGCATCTATGAGATGGAGGAACCCTGCTGGGGAAAGCACCATGTGTCATAATCATAGCTTATTTTGATGGCTGTTATGCAAAATTTGTACAATGAATTACGGTATCTGGTGTCAAATTAAAAGGTGTTCTTCAGAGTAGAACTCTCTCTCTTGTCCTCCTCTGCCATCTGTGGTTGTATAACGTTTCCGTGGGTGATGTAAGGGAGCCCCCCCCAAAGGGTTTTTTCTTCCATTTTTTTTGTCATAAAATGTATTCTTTTGGATCCTATTTTTTGAACGATATAAGCTTCCTTTGCTTTTGTGCCATTTTACTGCCTCCCCCTCACCCCATTACCAGGCCACCTCTTCTTTGTATTACATCAGCATAGATAAGTGTGCATAGTCTTGATTTTCAGACACAACAAAGTTCAGTTTTTTGATGGGAATATCTGTTTATCATGCTACTAGGAGGTCTAGCAAATATTTGCACATGACCACTTGTGTAAACCAATTTAAAGCAACGGGAAAAATTAAATTGGTGTACCATTAAATATTTGCCAAAAAAAGCACACATCGACAATTGTTTCCACCGTTTAGAGGGAGCTCTTGATCAAATACTGGACTCAAGCTTTAGAGCAGTTGTTTCAATAAGTATCAACAATATTTTGTCTTATGACATTTATGGTACTGTGCGGTCATCTAGAGTTTGCAGGCAGAAATGTTTTCCCTATAGAAATTGGTGTAGGAAGGAAGCGTGAAGAGCTACGCCTATGTGGGAATGGCTACAAACATTCAAAACAGACCTGAACCAAAGCAGAGTGGGGACAACCCTGTAGCTCCACCAGAAGAAAGACTGCTAAGATCAAGAACCTTTTTATCCTGCAACTGCTTAAATGCCCTAGGTCCTGTTTGCTAGGAAAACATGGGTCAGCTATAATGGAAGCCGAATCACTTTTAGTACTTCAATAACGGCATGCAGACAACTGTCAATACTCACTCAGTAGAGAGATCGACAGTGTGTGCATATATATATATATATATATATATATATATATACACACAAGAATGCTGCGTTTACAAACTACGTACAGTTACAGGAAACAGTAGAAGACATACAAAGCGCGTGTGTGTGTGTGTGTGCGTGCGTGCGTGTACATACATATTTACACTTTGTATGTCTTCTACTGTTTCCTGTAACTGTAAGTAGTTTGTAAACACAGCATTCTTGTTAAGTAACAGCACATTAAAAAAACTACTGGGTGCTTTCCTGCAAAGAATTTGACAAACAGGTCCTAAGAAAAAGCAAAAAGCCCCTCCACCTCCACAACTCTAGGCCATCTCACCCTCCACATCCTAATCTCAAGGCCACCTCCCAATTTACCTCCCCATTTCTAGGCCACCTCCACCTTCCCGTTCCTACGCCTCCTTCACCTTATTATCTCCAAGCTGCTTCCCTCACCACCTTCCCATCCCTTGGATGCCTTCCCCTGTATCTTCTCATCTCCAAGCTACATTCCCCCCCCCCCCTTACTTTCCCATCTCCAGACACCATCCCCCTTCACATTTCCAGGCCGCCTCCTCCTTCTCCCAACGCTCCCTTCCAAGGCCACCTCCCATTTACCTCCCTATTCTAGGCCACCTCCACCTTTCCAGCCCTGGCCGACAGCCACCTTCCATCTCTAAGATGCCGCCTCCTCCTCCACTTTCAAATCTCCAATCTGCCTCCCCCACCACCTTCCCATCCCTAGGACACCTTCTCCTCCACCTTATCATTTCCAAGCTGCCTCCCCCATCACCTTCCTATCTCCAAACTGTTACCATTAAATTAATTCAAATTATGATACAAATAACTAATAAAAGTGTATAAATACCAAAAAATATTTAAATAGATAGTTTCAATTAATCAATCTCCTCCAAATAAATATCAAAATAATTCCACATGAAATACTCCTCTAAAAAAATATTATACCAAGTGCTCATAAATCATCTATTAGTGACATGATGTACTTTACTAATACCCTCAATTTCATTTATATTCATAATACCCTCATTTAATATAATAAAAATAGTAAACCAACTAATAACCCTCAACTAAAACGCATTTAAATGATCCCCCATAAATAAAAATAACCAAATGCTCATAAATAATTAGTAGTGATTAGTATGAATCCAAATATCATCAAAATAATAGTCCCATTGAATAAACAATTGTTTATATATAGTGACTTGGTGCTTGTTGTTCTTCAAATTTGTGACTTTTGTGAATCCTTCAAATAGTGAAGATGTGCGCTCACCTCCTTTGATGCCTGCAATTAGGCTATACACGCTTTCGGTTCACTTTCCCTGGAACCTGCTAGACATATACTTTTGCTGGTAAAATTGGGAGATCCTTCCTTTAGGAGTAATGGGTGTATCCTCTGGTGGCTGATTATCCCCTCAGGGATTACACACTCCTTTTGTTATCCCAGACCTCCTAATTATCCTCTGCTTGTGTTACACCGCATGCAGGAAGAAATAGAGGACATAGTGCTTTACCTTTTAAAACTTTTTATTCCCACCATCCAAGTATTAAACTCACATTAGACAGGTTTAAATAACGCAATATCCCATTGGAAATCCTCTGCTGGCCTCTGAGTCATACACCTGCCGTCTATCGTGTTGTGCGGCTCCTCTCCGAGTGATGACGTAGCCCCTCCCCTACGCGTTATGCCTCCAATCACGTGGCTTCATCACAATCCCCTGATGAAGCCACGTGATTGGAGGCGTAACGCGTAGGGGAGGGGCTACGTCATCACTCGGAGAGGAGCCGCACAACACGATAGACGGCAGGTGTATGACTCAGAGGCCAGCAGAGGATTTCCAATGGGATATTGCATTATTTAAACCTGTCTAATGTGAGTTTAATACTTGGATGGTGGGAATAAAAGTTTTAAAAGGTAAAGCACTATGTCCTCTATTTCTTCCTGCATGCGGAGTAACACAAGCAAAGGATAATTAGGAGGTCTGGGATAACAAAAGGAGTGTGTAATCCCTGAGGGGATAATCAGCCACCAGAGGATACACCCATTACTCCTAAAGGAAGGATCTCCCAATTTTACCAGCAAAAGTATATGTCTAGCAGGTTCCAGGGAAAGTGAACCGAAAGCGTGTATAGCCTAATTGCAGGCATCAAAGGAGGTGAGCGCACATCTTCACTATTTGAAGGATTCACAAAAGTCACAAATTGAAGACAACAAGCACCAAATCACTATATATAAACAACTGTTTATTCAATGGGACTATTATTTTGATGATATTTGGATTCATACTAATCACTACTAATTATTTATGAGCATTTGGTTATTTTTATTTATGGGGGATCATTTAAATGCGTTTTAGTTGAGGGTTATTAGTTGGTTTACTATTTTTATTATATTAAATGAGGGTATTATGAATATAAATGAAATTGAGGGTATTAGTAAGTACATCATGTCACTAATAGATGATTTATGAGCACTTGGTATAATATTTTTTTAGAGGAGTATTTCATGTGGAATTATTTTGATATTTATTTGGAGGAGATTGATTAGTTGAAACTATCTATTTAAATATTTTTTGGTATTTATACACTTTTATTAGTTATTTGTATCATAATTTGAATTAATTTAATGGTAATAATTTAATTATTATTTATTGAGAAGTATTTAGGAGCGCAACATATATTTGTAGATATTTCCAACACAGTTGTAGTTATGCGTTTCATGTTTGCGATCCTCTAGTAATTATCACACCTGTAGCTCGCAAGTCACTCTGATTCATCTATACCTATCTCCAAACTGACTTCCCTAACACCTATTCATCTCCAGGCTAACTTCCCCTCCTAACTCCAGGATGCCTCATCCCAACATCACAAGTTCAGGAGACCAACATCTAAACTTCATGATTCCTGGATAGGGTTTGCTGGGCATGTCTTCTCAATATCACCAAGCTGGGCTCTGTGGTTTACAATGGTGGTATAATGTTGTTAGAATAAGTGTGTGTGTGTTGAAGTCTTATGTTAAAGCCAGTGACTTTAGTTTTTCATTCCTGAAAAATGTTTTATATTTTTTAGTTCTTCTTGGACCTCTGCTTTAATTATCCAATCATCCAAAGAGTGAGAGAATAAATCTAACAATAACACCTTTCGCCTATAGCAATACAAAATTCAAAAGAAAGATACATACCTGCTAATGAGCATTGCAGTAATGACTGGCTCCCAGCCAGAATGCAGCACAATTCTTGTTGCTGGGTGTTTGGATGCTACTACAATCCATATTGGAGTTAGAGCCAAGAAGAAAGTACCAACCAGTGGTGATACAAATGAATATGAATCTAGAACACAGTAAAATAGCAAAATTTTAATTTTCTAGCAAAAAATAGAAAAAAATACTGTATTTTTGTCAGAATAAGAATTGATGGGAAATCTCTCCTTTGGGGACATGGACACAGTCAGGAAGGGTTAAAACTTTTGAAATAGTTTTTTTTTCCTACTATATGTATCTCTGATCAGGTACATACACCCTTGGTTTTTGTACCAGGCCTCAGAGGAACAGGCATTCAGAAAAAAAATTCCCCAATGAGGCCACATATTGAAATAATGACCATAAGACATTTTAATTCTTCTCAACCCTATCCAAAAGGGAAAGAACATGTTTTGTATAGCTTTGGACAGTGTACAGAAGTTTTAGAGAGTCTGCAAATCTTAACTTGTTTCTTGGTGTTTCCATTGGAAAGCTTTCTCTTCGGATCCTGTCATGTCAGAGTGACAGGATGAGGGAAAATGTCCCCAAGGACCAGAAGGAAGCATAAGCTCTAAAGAGCAGGGCCCTCTGTTTATTCTTGTACAAAATTGTATTGTAACTGTTATGTCTACCTTAATTTTGTTAAGTGCTGCGCAAACTGTTGGTGCTATATAAATCAATGTATAATAATAATAATAATATTATAATAAAAACCCTTAATCACTGCTTTCACCCAAATGATAAAAAGAGGTTTTGAGTGGAGCTTCACACTCAACTAGCTCTTCCTCTCCCATTCCTACAATTACATTTAAGAAAATGTGAGTGCTTCTCAATTTATGAGTTTCGTCAGAATTTTTCAATCCAGTTGAGGTTCAGTGGAATCCTGACAAATACAAAAAACATGTCTATTTTAGCTTTAAAAACAATATGTCTATCTGAGCTTTAAAGCTATACTAAAGCTAATTTTTAAATTAAAATAAAACATGTTATACTTACCTGCTCTGTACAATGATATGGCACAAAGCGGCCCCGAACCTCCTCTTTTGGGGTCCCCCACCGGCACTCTCCGCTCCTCCCCTTCTCTGTCTGCCCCCATAGCAAGCCGATTGCTAGGGGGCAGATGCTGCGGGCTCGTTCCTGAGTGTACCTTTAAAACACTCATAGCGTGGCTCGATCCCGCCCCCACTCCCTTCTCATTGGATTTCACTGACAGCAACAGGAGCCAATGGCTCCCACTGCTGCCTCTTTGTCCAGTGAGGAGAGGGAGAAAGAGAGAGAGAGCGGAGAGCATGCATGCAGGTAAAAAAAACATTTAGCCTTTAGAACCCATTTAATAATGCACAGTAAACATTGGCTTCACTGTTCGGTACTTTTTTTTAAAAAAAAAAAAACAGTCAATTTTAACCAGTCTAAATTTTTATAGCTTAGTTGCTCTTTTTTGTCCAGCTATGAATTCAGACATAAGCACAAAACAATCAAACACTGGAATTTCCTATTTATGTTAGCTGTAAACGCTTTTATATTAGTAGCAATACTGGTCATTTGGCCTGGTGCTGACATTTATAAAATCCAAAGTCTAATTTATAAAGTGAAAAAATAAGTATCTTCATCATTGCAAACAGATTAAAACTTTAATGTATCCCTATTGCTACAGTGAGAAAATATAAAAATTATTAGTAGCCTGTAAAAAAAAAAAAAAAAAAAATCTTTAATACCAAAAGAACACAGTAGTAAAGTAGAAGATGGGAGAAGAACCGGAACCGCAGCACCTAACAAGGGACCAGGTAACTGACACCCCAGAAGTGTTACATACCAATGGCACGCATAGCTCTCTAAGACTGCAAAGATTTGACTCAACTCCCACCAGAAAGCCTGGTATTAAACATCTTCTTTTATAGTCTGCTTTAAATTTTGTTACTATAGAGACAAAGTCATTTTAAAGATTTCAACCATCATTTTCCACCACAGGCTTTAATTTGATTGGTTGTTAGGGTCTTTTCAAATCAGAAGCTCATTTTGTTTGAAAGAAAAAAAAAAAAAAAGCAGAAGATGCCTGTACATTTCACTTCCATCGCAAATCCAAAAAATAAGGGTTTATTGCTCATTTAAGTGTGCAAAACCATTAAAATAATTCCTTTTTGCCCTTGGGCCAGCTGTGCATCCAGAAGATCAGGTTTACAGCCTAATATTATAGAGCCTATTACTAAAGTGTTTCAGGCTTGTTGGCCATCGTTAGTGCAAAGTATGAAAACCATGCGCTTCTATGAGTTAGGTCTTAAAATAAGGCCCATTACACAAAGGGCAATTACGATAAACAAAATGCAATAGCAGTCCATTATGTTTTTACTTCAGCCAGATCACTAGCAGGAAACTGTTGTACCAGGTTACCACAGATAGTAATACGAAGGAAAAAATGTAAGTGATACCGTTCATGTGGCTAACTAAAAATATTTTAAGGTGTATTGAAAGGGTGGTTCTATACAATTCAGAAAGTGAACGGAGCCACCCTGAAATTGGAAACCCAGAGCAGTGGTCATTACATCAGACTAAACTAAACATAGGTAAGCATTAAAAGATAAAGCAGCTGCATACTCAGTAAGTGATTAAATCAGCTACTAAAAATGCTTAAAAAACTGAGGGTTTCATATTACACTCAATTACTAGGCAATGTGCTGGTACTGCAGTCAGACTGCAAATATCCAGTGACAATTATAAGATTAGTACATTGGTTATCACTTCTGCCTTGCAGCACTGGGGCCTTAGGGTCCAGCCAAGACACCATTTGCATGGAATTTGCATATTTGTTGATTTCAGGTATTTATATGACTTTGACGCAGTACTTTACATATATATTGTACATTCACATTAGTCCCTGCCCTTAAGGAGTGTGCAATCTAAGGTTCCAAACTCACATTCGTACATACAAATACTAGGGACAATTTAAACAGAAGCAAATTAACCTACCAGCATGTCTGGGACAGAAGTGCTAACCACTTAGTCACTGTGCTGCATGTTTTGCTTATGCTTGCGGGGCTTCCTTCAGGTACTCTGGTTTCTTCACACACTCCAAGAACATGCTGGGAAGTTAACTGGCTCCTGTCTAAATTGGTCCATGTATAAGTACGTATGCATGGTTTCAAGCCAATGATGATGGCTGTATATCCTGATGTTTCTGTAAGTAGTTCATCTGTCTTTTGGCAAAGATCAAGTGTAGTGTCTGTTCTTAAGTGCAGTAGGGGGTGCTATGGCGCTACTGGGGCCTTTTGGCAGGAATGGCTGGCTGTAGAGTGTCCCTGCTGGTATAAGGGCTCTGAAGGCTAGTACCAGCTGGAACAAATACCATGGCGTCCACAGGATGTGGGGCACAGGAGTAATTGCCCCAGGAAGACTGGAGGGGTCTAGTTCCTCCAGATTTCAATGGGTTTACCTCATCTGGCCATGGGCTGGGAAGGCAGAGAATCCACAGTGTCGGTGCCTCCTGGGAGTTGGGCACCCCAGGGTTGCTCTTAATGTTACTTGGGTGTGGGAGCCCCTCAGCAAGAATGAACACATGGCCACAGCACTAATGGTTTTTCTGCACTGAGCCTGTTTGTGCCAGGCCTTTTGTCTAAGTCTGGGGCAATTTTAGTTACCAAGCCACAGGAGGACCAAGCCTATGCATTGGCATAGGCACATATTTAATCCATTTTTTTTTCTTCATGTTTGTCACTGCACTTTTGTATGCATTTCTTTTTCTCACTCGGATGGAGGGGAAGGGTCTCTCTTGGCCTACCCTGAAGTCTTGGGGGAGGATGTGTAGCCATTAGGTTCCTTCCTGCCCTGGTCCGGGGTTCTCTCATCTTTACCTAGTATTCGTTGGCATGCATGTACGTCAAATAGGGACCCTAGACTAAAAGCTCCTCTGGCACCTACATTATGTTAGTTCATACAGTTTGTGCCTTTATTTTTACTTCTTTTTAATAAAGCATACGGCATTATAATTATCTCTTTTGGGATTTTTCTCTGAGATTTGTTTGGTAATTGAGGATGTTTAATAGTGGTTTTCATGAGTGGATGATCTTCAGCAATTCTGCATAAAGAAGTGGATATCATATCTGACCATATACAAGATCTGATCTCTAACACTTGCTGGCTGCTTTGGTGGCTGATGTGATTTGGTGCATGCGCAGTCTATCTGAACACATTGGTGGAGCACTGCTGATTTCAAAAGAGCTGGTCATTTTATTTCCATTTAACAAGAGTATGGTTTTTGGGGACTTTTTTAACACATCAAATCACATTATTTTATATGTATATGCGTTTTTGAATTTTCACTATGTGCATTAGGTGAAGTTTTCACAGGTTTCTTATTCTTACAATACAATTCAATACAGGAGGAGTCAAAGGGCCCTGCTCGTTAGAGCTTGCAATCAAAAAGAAACAATGTGCATATATACATAAAGTTGTGCTCAAACGTTTGCATACCTTTGGAGAACTGATAATATACTATACAGTAAAATGAGTAAGCAACCAAAACGCGTTTAATTTATTTCTTATGGAATTCATATTCAACTATAGGTCAGAACAGAATGGAACAATCATAAAACAAAACATGGCAACAAGAAAACAAATGATATGACCCCTGTTCAAAACTCTGCATACCCTTACTTCTTTATACTGTGCATTGCCCCCGTTAGCATCAATGACAGCATGCAGTCTTTTATAATAGTTTTCTATGAGGCCCCGAATTTTTGCAAGCAGTATAGCTGGCCACGCAGCTTGGCAAAATGCCTCCAGGTCATGCAAAGTCTTTGGTCGCCCTGCATGAACAGCACGTTTGAGATCTCCCCAGAGTGGCTCCATGACATTCAGGTCAGGAGACTGATGGCCACTCAAGAACCTTCATCTCTTTATGCTATAACCACTAGAGGGTCCACTTGGCCTTGTGCTTAGGGTCATTGTCACTCTGGAAACTCCAAGAGTAAATTGTCTGCCAGTATTTGCTGAAAACATGCTGCATTCATCTTGCCATGCATTTTCACAAGATTCCTCATGCCTTTAGAGCTCACACACCACAAAACATTAGTGAGCCACCATCATGCTTCACAGTGG